TACAGAAAAAAAAAAAAAAATCACAAAAATTAGCCGGCTGTGGTGGTGTGCCCCTGTAGTCTCAGCTAACTCGGGAGGCTGAGGCAGAAGGATCGCCGGAGCCCAGCAGGTCGAGGCTGCAGTGACTGTGAGTGTACCACTGCCCTCCAGCCTGGGCGACAGAGTGAGACTCCTACTCAAGAAAGAAAGAAAAAAAAAAGAATTACCCTACGACCCAGCAATCCCACTGCTGAGGACGTAGCAAGAAAATTGAAAGCACGATTTCCAGCAAAACGTGTGCGCGAGCAACCACACAGCACAATTCTCAGTAGCCAAAGGTGGGAGGGAAAAGCTCATTGTCCACTGAGGGAGAATGGATCGCATGGCGTGGCCTGTCCACACGTGGACATGACTCGACCACACAAAGGAAGGAGGTTCTCACCCAGGCCATGGGATGTCGGGAGCTGGGGCATGTCATGCTTAGTGAGACCAGACGCAGAAGACACAGGGAGTGACTCCACGTACATGAAACATCCAGAACAGACCAATCCACGGAGCCGAGGTGTGGATTCGTGGGGGCCAGGAAGGGGCTGGGCGTGACAGTGGATGGTGACAGGGCTTCCTTTTGGAGTGATAGAATGTTCTGGAACTAGGTAGAGGGTGTGGCTGCACATTGTTGTGGATGTGCTCAGTGCCACCGAATTGCACACTTTTTTTTTTTTTGAGTTGGAGTCTCACACCGTTGCCCAGGCTGGAGGGCAGGGGCACGCTCACGGCTGCTACCCCTATGTTGACCTGCTGGGCTCCGGCGATCCTTCTGCCTCAGCCTTCCAAGGAGCTGGAACTACAGGTACATGCCACCACACCCATCTAATTTTTGACTTATTGTAGAGACGATGTCTTGCCATGTTGCCCCGGCTGGTCTTGAACCCTCAGGCTCAGGCAATCCACTCGCCTCGGCCTCCCAGAGTGCTGGAATTACAGGCTGACCCACCGAGCCCAGCCAGAATTGCACACTTTCAGATGGGTAAAAGTCCCATGTGATGTAGCCAGGAGGTGACAGGGCAGAGGCAGGGCAGACCCCATGCTGTGTCACCTCCTGCTGTGGGTTTGAGTGGGTGTTTGTGTGTGCCACAGCGGTTTCTCTGTGTCCATGAACAAGGGCTGGGGTGTCTCGGCCAGTGGGAAAGGGAGAGGATCACCGTGGGTGGGCTGGGGAGCTGCAGGCGCCTCTGTCTCTGGTGCCTTGGAGGTCCTGGCCCTGCCCCGTTGGGACCTTCAGGGGCTCGCCAGGCGTGCTCTCAGCCCAGCTCAGCCCATGCCTCTGGTCCCCAGCTCCAGTCCAAATACGACCCTCAGAAGGAGGCTGAGCTCCGAAGCTGGATTGAGGGACTCACTGGCCTCTCCATCGGCCCCGACTTCCAGAAGGGTCTGAAGGATGGGATTATCTTGTGCACGTGAGTGTACACATGGATACGTGCTCTGTCACCCTGACTGTTCTGTGTATGTGGGCTGGCACAGCACACCATGCTGGAAACCTGCTCACTCCTCACCTAACGGGTGTTGGGTTTTTCTCACTCTTGCTTTGTTTTCTTGTTGTGTTGCATTATCTTTTCCTTGTCCTATTGTTTTATTGTTTGTCTTACTGCTTTTTTATTTCTGTGTCTTACAGGTTTTTCTCATGTTTTCTTGTCATATTGCATTGTCTTTTTCTTGTCTTATTGCTTTGTCATTTTTGTATATCATCATGTTGTCTTTTCCTTGTCGTATCACATTGTCTTTTCCTTGTCATGTTGCGTTGTCTTTTTCTTGTCTTATCACTTTGTCTGGGACCGTGGACCTTGCACCTTCCCTCCCGTGGGAAAGCTGTTAAAGTTTCTGCAGGCCTTTCCTGGTTGTGGCCTAGTCAACCATCGTTCAAATGTTCCACGGCTTTAGGTCAGGTGCGGTGGCTCAAGCCTGCCATCCCAGCACTTTGGGAGGCCGAGGTGAGAGGATTGCCTGAGCCCACGGGTTCGAGGACAGCCTGGCCAACTTGGTGAGACCTCATCTCTACAATAAATCAAAAAATAAGCCCGGTGTGGTAGCGTGCACCTGTAGTTCTGGCTACTTGGAAGGCTGAGGCAGAAGGATCACCTGAGCCCAGCAGGTCAAGGCTGTGGTGGC